GACTACTGGCAGGATCAGCCGTGTTGTTTCTCCACACAAGCACCTCCAGCTAAACCTGCACAAATTGCCGACTGCGCTCCCACACAACCACGAATGCGTCCACCAGAAGCGCACCTGAGGCCTGGATCTGGCATTGTTCAGAAAACCCGGCACACCACTGTCGCCACCACAGATGGCAGCACCCCAGGAATCCATCGCCCCAAGAATGGCATGCGTAGTTGCGCCCAGCGGATCGCGGGATGAAAGCTCACGCCGACAGCAGCGAAAGCTGCCGCACAGGCACGTTGTTGAACTGACCCTGCGCAGTTCTGCTGCCAGCACTACAGGCAGTGCAGTCCCAGGGTCACAACGGATCCGTCACAAAGAATGGCAGCGAAAGCTGCCTCACAGGCTTGGATCTGCTGCGTCCTTCAGCTGACCCTGCACAGCACTGCTGTCACCACCAGGATCACGGGCTGATGGACTCAAAACTAGTTTGAGGCTTCTACATTGCCTTCCGCCAGTCTCTAGACTCTAAGCCCTAGGCTGTCACCACCAACGGACCCATCGCCAAGACTGGCAGCAAGAAATCTTCGCTAGAGGCTTGATGGCTGTACGGTTTTCAGCTGAACCTGCACAGCACCGCTGTCGCGCCAGATTCCCCAAGACCCCACACAACCACATACCTAGTCGCTTGGATCGGCTGCACAGTCTTGAGCTGACCCTGCACATCACCGTCGGCAAATTCAAGCAAGATCACCACGGACACAGATCCGCCGCCAAGAATGGCAGCAAAGGCTCCTTAACAGGCTTGGATCTGCTGCACATTCTTCAGCTGAGCTTGCACTGCTCTGCCGTCACCACCAGATCCAACAGGATCCCAAGTCTCAACGGTTCCAGCGCCGACAAAGGCAGCAGTTGAACGTGGACTCTGTTTATGTGCAAGGTCAGCGAAGCCCCCCTCCTGACAATCAGCCTCCTAAAGAGGATGAAAGGGAAACACAGCGCAGATGTCTGCAGAGACCTGGAGGAATAGACAGCAAGGCAGATGAGAGGATAAATGTCTCGACAACCGAAAGAACTCAATTTACCAAACTGTCTACACCCGGAAACCACAGACTTTAGTATAGACCATAGACTCCCTGGCCTGCAAAGCCGAACCTCAACCACGACCCCTGAGCCGAAACATCGAAAGCCACGTACCCCAAACGCCCAGACTCCCAAACCCCTTGAAGCCCACAACCCAGCCCCCAATCCTCCCAGCCCGACACGCCAAACCCCCAAAAGCCCTGCACCCTTCAACCTCTTAACGCCAAAAAAGCCCTGAAACCCGAAACCCCGCCTCTTGCTCCTCTGCCTCGGCCTCTTCCTGGTCGGTCATCTCGCCCGGGTTCGCCTCCCTGTCCGCCTCCCGGAATTGTCGGCTGTGAACTGAAGAAGTTTGAAGGGTTTGAGGTTGGAACTGTTGAAGGTTCGGGGTCGTGGCCCGGCGGCTGAGGCTTTGAAGCTTGCGTTTCCCAATGCGTAACAAGATAACCAGCTGGAGCCGATTGTAGCACCAGCCAGCAACAGCAACAGCGACAACAACCACAATCTTTGCTAACTCAAAGCACAATCTCGAACAATCACAACACAGTCACGACAACACGCCAACAACGACAAGAAGAAGATCGTGTCGTCAGCATGACGAATACCATCTTCATTCTCATGATCAACACCGTCACGATGACCGTCTTCATCGCCATTACCATCATCCTGACAATCATCAAGAACAACATGATCATCGGCATTCCCATCACCATGATCTTCACGGTCACCAGCAGGTTGCTTTGTTTCCCTGCCCATCGTCCCCCTTCCAGCTCGTCACTATCGCTATGACTATCATCACCCTCATCAAACAACCGCCTCAGATCCTACAATCCTACAATCACGCTGATCATCCTGGTCCTAGTCATCACAACAACATAGCAATCAACAACAACATCATCAGCAGCAGCTGCTGCTGCTACTGCAGCTGCTGCTGGTGCATCAACATCACGAGCATCTTTCGCATCGTCATCAGAATAGTATCCACCGCCGTCACCATCACCTTCAACCTCGCTCTCACCGTCACCGTCACAGTCACCATCACCAGCACCTTCATGGTCACCAGCATCCTCACTATGGTCATCAACATCACAACCAAGCATCATCAGCAGCAGCACCATTATCGTCATCGCGATCACATTCACCCTCACCCTCACCAGATGATCGGCTTGTTGCCTAGAGAAACTGGGTGTAAGATCCTGCTGCGTGCTCCGGTCCAGGGGTTGGAAGGGAAAAGTTCCGAGTTCCATGCTCTTGCTCCAACTGTCTGATTGCAGGCTTTTCCGCTCAGTGCGTCAGAGTTTGAAGGGGAGAAACCGTGCCTTAAACGTATTCCAAACCGCGAACCATGTTGACGGTGATGCAAGGCTGAGAGAAGTTCTTGCACAAGTCAGCAGTCAAGTTCATTCACACACGGCAGGAGAGCGGGAAAGGCTAGAAGCTTGCAGTCTTAGGGCTCAGCTAAACATATGTGTCAGGAAATAGTTGAACTGCTACTCAAACATCTTGCGAAGCTTTATTGTACTTTTTGTACTGTTCACCCTACCAGTATCAGGTCACGTATCGGAGATGATTCTGGCTTCTTGCGCTGTGCCTCAGGCGAGTTGGGGGTGGGCGCGTTGCACTTGAAGAGGAAGCCCTTGGCGGGATAGGCTTCGCAGAGTTACCTGAGTTGGGGGTCTCCTCTTGTGGACTCTAGTGTTGGGCACGGTGTTTGGGCATCATGATTTCTGCAGGAAGGTGACATGTCCAGTGCTGATCGTTGGAGCCCCTATATCTGGAATCTATATTCGGAACACGAGGATTCGGATTGTGGTGGGTTCAAGACTACGCGTTCGGGGATTCCGGGCTTTGAGAGAGTGTAACCCAACCTCTCGCAAAGAATCGAGACTCTTGATTTACGATGTCAGCTTAAGCCGGCACAACGATGCAACCGCGGTTTAGGAACGCTGAGTCGGTTGCGATGGTACCAGTGCAGATATTCGTTATTGTTTTATGATTTGAGAAGACGACTAGTATTCGGATGATTTTACGGAGACGCATGTGCTTATGACTCCGAACAATGTTCTGCCTCTTTCGGTCATGACGTGCTCTGGTTCCTCCGAGCACTGTGTTACACAGGTCTATTGATTCTGAAGGGATTGTGGGATAATCAGCGTTACAAGTATAATGCCACGAGGAGCAACACCTCCAAACATAGTACGATGGAACATGATGGGTTAAAGTCTCTTAGGAAGTCCTGTGCCTTGTAGCAGCTGATGCAAAGTCGCAATGATGGCAATGGCAGTGCGCTTCGTAGCTCGTGGTTTCCAGGGAGCCCTAAACTCTAAATCCCGAAATCCTCGATCTTATTAGTCTTTCCACATTTTGTGAAACCCGCCGCAATCAGCCGTCGGTCGCAGATGGCTCCATCTGCTCACCGGACCTGCGGGGGGGAGATCGGAATCTTCACTCCTCAGGGCGTCCCAAGAACGAAAGTGGTTGCTCTTCTGGAACCAGTAGGGCTGAGGGTGGATACGGTTGTTTAAGATCAGCCTTGCCATCTTGACCTGCGTTACTCTTGCTACATTGCTCACGTTGGCAATTCGTCGGCGAGACACAGAGAAGGAAGAGACAGAGAGAGAGACGGTCCATGTCGACGATCACGCATTCCGGGTCGACTTGTCATCGACTCGGTCTTGGGCGAGAGGCTTTGCCTTTGGCCCTCCAACCCTGAGACCTACGCCTTACTTAACCGTGAACCCTACAAGTGCGCAAATTCCAAAACCCTCGGCCCCAAAGCCCCCTTCTCCCGACACTGAACCCCCAAACCCAAGCTTGAGGGAAGTCTGGCTCTGCGCCTCTCTGCGTCGTTTTGCGGCTGCAGGCGGCGCTCGTCCAGAGACATGGCAGCACAGGAGGACCCTCCAGCGAGATTGCTTGTCGGGTTTATGGGGGCTTTGAGAAGCTAGGATTTGAGGGTTGAGATTTGTGGCTTTGGCGGTGTAGGGTTCAGAATTTGAGGGGTTTGGGGTTTAGGATGTGAGGGGGTTCGAGGTTTACGAGTTTGGGGGATTCATGGTGTTTAGGAGTTGCAGGGCATAGCGGCTTAGTGTTTAGGGTTTAAGGCATCGAACATCGCATTCGGGATCCAAGGTTAGGAGGGAGTTTGGGAAAGCTTAAGGGTTAGATAAGAGAATAACGGGTGTGGACCGACTCTTCGACATGAAGGCTTAAGGGTTCACTGCGACCCCCATCACTCATCGGGGGGGGAAAGGGGGGCTCCGAAGGGTCGGGGAGGTTCCCTGAACCGCGGCTTCTGCGCGCGCCTCCATGTGGCCGGCTTTGGTCCGTCAAACGCTCCACAAACTTCCTGAGATTTCTTGGCCCTTCAAAAAGTCCCTCTAGAAGGCTTCTCTCAGGGAGCTGCAAGGGGGTTACCAGGGTCGTCTAGCAAGGGCGACCTATGAGGTTTCTACACGCAGTAGTACTTTTGGGCTTCCTCTCGACTTAACACTCGCACAGCTCAAAAGCGTGAAAGTCACAAGCACTCAGCGCAACATGTTTGCTCGCTACGCGAAAGTAAGAAGCTCAAGTGGGCCTGCCTCGAGAGGAAAAAGGGCCGAAGATGCCCGAAGGCATGTGCTCACAGGTCAATCAGCACACGCAGCTGAAGGCTCAAATTTAACACTGGTCTTTTTTTCTTTGACCTGTCTGAGCACTAGCCAAGGCACTGCGAACCACTCACACAAACTCTGCATCAGCTCTGGAGAGAGCTTGGTAAGAGCATCTGCCCTCATGAGATCTGTCGGGACCCAATGGATTGAGTCGGGCTCTACGCTATCCTGTATGCTCTTGATGCTGACGAGGAGACGTTTTTCAGACGTCTGAGGGTTCTCTTGAACTAACGAGTCATACAGAGACTTCGCGTCTACAACGTGCAGCATCCGCAAACAAGGTTTTACTCGGTAAGCTTTCTCACCGGTCAGCAGCTCAGTGAGGTACAGGTTCGTGAAGTGGAGCCGGTCGACTGCTTCGTCTGCAGCCATTGCCTCGGCTGCCAGTGTGCTTCGGCAGACGCGGGCGCTCTTGCCCGACTTCCAGTCGAGGAGGCTTCCCAGACACGGCGTGTTCGTCACCTGGGGAGTTGTTGCGAACACCAACACGCCAAACTGTGAACGAAGGTCTCCAGGAGAGTTCGCCCACGAAGCGTCTGAGTAGGAGACGAGGGTAGTAGCCATGTTGAGTGGCAGGTCTGGCAGCACGAGCCCGCAGTCGGAGGTCTCCTTGGCGAAGTCGAGGGCGTAGTAGAGGGACTTCAGGTTTGCGAGGGTGCTCTTCGAGTTGAGACTGTTCAACGAAACGTAAGGCGAAAGCTCTGGACGACTTTGTCCGCAAAGCCACTGTAAGCACCCTGCCACGGAACGTAGTTCGCCCTGTTGTTCTGGAGTGAGGAGCTCGTCCAAGTCGGCTCCCTTGGGTAGTTTCCCGGAAGTCAAGCCGGAGATGAACTCCTTCTGGGTGATGGTGAGGAAGTAGCGTCCCCGGTTGTTGAGCTTGAGCGTGACCTCCTTGCCCTTAAACGTGAGCGGCTCTTGGTTCTTGAAGAAGTTCAGGGCCCCCCAAACGAAGGCGTTGTGCACCTCGGCAATGTCATAGTCCTTGCGGTAGACGCCGAGGAAGTCGTCGACGTAGACGATGATCACGCTCACCAGTTCGTTCTTGGAGTTCCGTTTCATGAAGAGCATCTTCTCAAAAGAGTGCTGCGTGTAGCCAAGCTTCTGAAGTCTGGTTGTAACTTCTATCGCCCAGAGTCTTGGAGCGTTGGCCAAGCCATAGATGTTGGACTTGATGAGGTAGAGCTTGGCCTTCCAATGCGGCGTCTGAGCTATGAGGCCATCGGTCGGTGGCCGCATGTAAAGCGGAAGACTTCTCTCCTGCTGTGGCTGTTGCCCCTGAAGGAAAGCCGTGGCTGCATCGGCAATCCAACCAACCCATTCAAGGCCTGAGTCAAGGAGCTCCTTGTTGGAGCCGGCCACGAGCATCATGAAGGCAACGTGCTCTGCAGTCCTGCCAGGAGTAGGGGCCTGTCTGTTCAAACTGAACAGATCTGGATCAGAATGTCCCAGACACACTATCCGACATTTTGCTTTGATAGGGCCAGATCCCCTTGATTTGTCTCTGTAACACGCACGGCTTCGCAGGATTCTTTTGACAAGAATTTTGTCGTTCAAGACTCTCTGTGCCTCCTCGTGGCTGAGGGCCTCGACGCTTTGCCATTCTTGCCAGGACTTGGCCTCCTTGTCGATTGCCGCGAGGTAGTCGGGCACATTGGCTCCCCTGATAATGGTGGTCCAGGGAATCTCTCGATCCAGCTGCTTGGCGTCCTTGCGGGAGAGTCTTGTTCCTGTCTGTGGCCCGGTCTCGCCGTCAGAGTCGGAAGTGTCACTCTCACGAGGGTTCTTGCCAACAGGAGCGTCTGCCTCCCTAAAGTCGCTCTGTAAGTAAGCCTGGTAGAAGGCTTCACGCTTGGGACCAAAAACGCCGGTGAGGTAGTCTTCGCCAGGTGGTACGCGGTGGACCTCGAAGCCGTCTGCCAAGAGTGTCGTCAGGGAGTCAAAAGGGCGCTTCTGAGGAAGTGTAGGTGAAGGCTCTGGAAGTGACGCCGCTTGGGAACTATTCACCTCTGACGTTGGTGCCCGTGACGAAGACGAAGCTGACGAGACATCTATCTGTGGCCCACCAGGTAGTACAGAAGTCTGTGGTTGTTGTAGCTGGTCTGAACTTGCTGCTAAAGCTGACCCTGTAACCGAAGTAGCCAAAGGTGCCTCTGAAGGACGTGCTGGTAGTAGTTCAGGTCCTGCAGGTAGAGGTTCTTGTGGCTGCTGTGACGGTTGTGGTTCTTGAGGTTCGTGACCGCCAGGTAGTACAGAAGTCTGTGGTTGTTGTAGTTGGTCTGACCCCTGCTCGGCGGTCTCGTCGAGGTAGGCGGCGCTGCCGTACTCTGCGCTGTCGAACGCCGCCGTGCGCAGGTTCTCGTCAAAGGAGGCACCCGCGGGTAACTGAGGAAGCTCAGGAGGTCGTGGTAGTTCTCGTGGTGGCGGTGCTGGCGACCTGCTCCTCGTGTGTCTTGGAGTTCGCGGTGTCTTGGGCGCGGCGTTGACGGAGCGAAGTGGGTCACCAAAGCGCTGTTGCACGTAGGTTGTCTGCTGAAAAGTAGGGCTGAGCGTGAGGTTGTAGTTGTCGGTCCTCTGAGGTGGTAGTTCAAGTGGCACGTCCTGTGGTGCTGGAGATCTTGGTGCCACGATGTGTGGGACCGGCGTGTCGAGGCCGATGGCCTGCGAGGCAGGTCCTGTCTCCAGCTGCATCTCCTCAAGGTCGTCGAGGGCGTCCGGTAGGTGCTCGGTAGGCTGTGGTCCTCGAAGGTCTTGGAAAACGCTCTCCTTGAGGTCGACGGTGGAGTCTTTCAGGCACTGTATGTCTTGTTCGTCTGGACACCAATCCTCGAAGCCCACCGCCTTGCGCACCTGCTCCATTGCCACCAGAATGGTGCTATTGCCGGAACGTATCCAGCATTGCTTACCTGGATAAGATGGATCGTAGGCCAAGAAGCGGCCCGTTGTCCAGGCGCCTCTTTTGCGAAGTCCTCGCCGCCTCCACCGCCAGAAAGCGACTCTCTGTCCAGGTTGAAGGTCCGGTATTTTGGTGTTGGCAGTCTTGCGCAGTATTGCTCTTTTAAGGCCTTGGTCCACGTTCATGGCGGCCAGGTGGGTCACTGCTTCCGCGCGGACTCGTTCTGCTGCCATGCCAGGATCAGAAACTGACTGCGCGAGGGAGCCCTCATCCGTCAGTAGGCCGCCCGGAATCCTTGGAACCCTGCCGTAGACTGCCTGGTAAGGGCTCCTTCCCTTCACGGTCACAAAGGAGTTCATGGCATGAAGGGCCCCGGTGAGGACGTAGTCCAAGCGGTCGAGGTCATCCACGGCGTGATCGTTGATAAGTTTCTCAAGGACTGAACGCAACACACAGTTGCGTCTCTCGACTGTTCCAATCACCCAGTGCGCCTCTGCCGGACAGTACTCGCAGCTCACGTTCACGGTGCTCAATAGCTCCTCAAACTCGCCCTGAAAGAGAGGATCCGGGTCGAGAAGGAGGCGAACTGGAAGACCGTAGGGGCGCAGCCAAGCGGAATGCAACAAGTTGTATGCTTCCCTGGCTGACTTGTTCCGAAGGATAGCTGCTTGGTGGTAGCCGGTTGCTGTGTCGGCCAACCCGAGCACTTGAACTGAAGCCCCGCTCAACAGCCTCACCCAAAAGAAATCACCTTGAACAAGATCGCCAAACTGCCCAGCCTGAAGACTCGGTGTCGAGGAGGGTCGCGGTTGCTGGGGACCTGCAAGTCTCTTGCAGGTTGCACAACTGAGTTTACGTACACACTCCTGGACACCAGCGCTCGGAACTCCACGGTGGCACAACAGTCGGTTGAGCTCTTGGGCGCTGGGATGCCCCAAATTCACATGAAGTCGCGCCACCGATCTCCGAACTGAAATCGGTATTTTGTCGCAGCCTGGAAAGGTCACGTCGGTAGGGAGACCGCCAATCGGGACCTCTGGTCCTGGGTCCTCTTGTGTTGATTGTTGAGGTTCATCTGCTTGTCGCGAGGAACCATAAATAAAAACCGCAAACTGCACTGGCTTACTGAATCGGCCTTTCGGTTGTCTCACCTCATCCAGCTGTTCCACTTCCACGAGTCGGGAGCCGTCATTGTGCTGAAGGGCGGCTCCTCTCGCCAGGTGAGGTATGTCGGAGTGGAAGCGCCGTTGGGTTGGAGTGTTCGCCACTTGGATTCGCACCGCGTCCATCCTGAAGAGGTCTTGGATCTCCTTGCCGAAGGTGGAGTCGGGGTCGACGATGTAGGGCCGCCGGTTGCTGCCGACGAAGCTTTTCTCCACCTGCTTGAACACGTTGTCCCAGGCAGCAGCGTCCACAGTAGGCCGTGAAAGGGCGTACACCGTAAAGTAACCAAAGCGTTGTGGTTCATGTTGTGCAATCCAACCCTTGATAGAAGTGAGGAGCTGGTCCACGAAGGCATCCGGGTAGACCTGGGTCGTAGCCGAGAGGTTGCCTTGGACCGGGGTGCAGTAGAAGAGGTCGGTTGCCGAAAGACGTTTGCCGAAGTCGCGGTTGAGGCCAGGAAAATTTGACATGATTTGTATCGCTCTCTTGATGGGCTGGCCGTCCGCGGTCTCGGCGCCGAAGGCTCCAAAATGGGCCGTGGTAGTTGTGACACCGGGCAGGTCAAGGAGCGATGCCATCTCGGTCTGGCTCCAAAGTCGGCTGTTCTTAGGATTGTCGAGGAAGAACAGTCTGCCTGCCTCATATTGTGTGCGGCAAAGTGCCGCGGTGAAACTTCTCATGGGTTGGTCCGCGGCTCTGCGAAGTAGGTACTCGTCGGCCTTGTCATTGATGTTCTCACCGAAGACGCTGTAGAAGGTCCCCGGGTAGCCGATGATGATAGCCCAAGGTCGCAGGCGGCGAACAAAACTCATTATCATCTCCTGCTGGTCTGGTTGGCTAAGGTCCCAACCGAAGTTCAAGTCGAAGGGCTGGCACGCGTTGAGACCAAACCTTGATGCACGTGCCGATGGTTTTGCCTCGCCGGCGAAGATCTCCAGGATGTCCACGGAAGGCGGTGGTCGTTGTGAGGTCGTAGGCAAAGTGCTGTACACGTCGAGCTCGGCCTCATAGATCTTGGTGGTCCGCTCGAGGTCTCCAGTCAATCTTCTTCGTCCTCCCAAAGGTAGGTTTCCTCGATCTCCTCGTGGTCCATGGGCTCGGTGTCGTGGATCAGCGCCCAGTGGTCGATCTCGTGGTCCTGGGAACGTCTCGTCCTGGAGGGAGGCGCGAAGCTCGAAGTCGCCGCCGAGGTCGCCGAAGGTCGTCGCGTGCTCGTCTTGGCCCGCGCCGCCCTCAGGGAAGTCGAAGAGTGGGGTGGAGCCCGAGCCGGAGCCTCCAGGGTATTGGCCGATGAGGGCAATGGCAGTGCCGATGAGCGTGAAGATGCGACGTAGGGCTTGTGAACCCATTTTTCTTGATCTTTGTCCCACTGCCATCTCTTTGCGCAATGTTTGCATCGGCTGTACCGGCCCGTGGCATTCCCGTACCGCTGTATCTCCGCATGCCGGCATGTTGCTTGGCTGACTTGAAACTGGGGGTCGAGGCGCGGTGGCGTGGCCTCCAAGAGCCACTGACGATCCCACACCCCGAGCCTTGCTGCCCTGACCATGATCATGTACAAGTGAATCTTGAAGTTCCGAACCCCGCGCACAATCCGCCTCCATGCTGCAAGTGAGGGCGGTGGCGCAGTGAGCATCCTTCAGCTGAATCCCGCGATGCGGGTATTCGAAGCCGAAAATGACTTCGGGTTCCGCGGACTCCCAGCTCTCACGATCAAGAAGCTCGAGGCACTCATGAGTGACATGCGAAGTGAAAGCATCGATTCGGACAGCCAAGTGACCACTGATCATGACAACATGTGCTGTAGTTCCTAAAGCTTCAAAGGTGGCGGTCATGTTGTTAAGGTTGAGTATCATCCCCAAGGCCTTGAGCAGCACGTTGCTGGCGAGAAGCGGCACGTCTGCGTTGAGGACACCTGTGCCGATGAGCAAGGGGCCGTGCTCGCCGAAGTTTACGGGTAGATAAGCACGAAAATCTGCTGCAACAGGAGGTCCCTTACCAAACTGGAACTTGTCATGGATGTGCGCCTTCCCCACGTGAAGCCCGAATGCCTCGAGGTGCTTGATGTGATCCTTCGCCCACGTCCTGCCGCAACAAGTTCGTTGGCAAGCCGTGTCTAGAACCATGTAGCCGACATACTGTGACCCAAGTGCTGGCACCATCTGTGCTGAAAACACGACGCTCACCTGGTAGGCCGGGTCCTGGAATGCCTGGCCGAACTCCGTGGAATACACCTCATAGCTGCCGAGATCGCTGTGGGTCACGGTCAACGCTTGATGAGGTGGACCCTTGCCTTGTTTGCCGCCGCCCTTGAATGATGAAGCCGGCTGTGATGGCCCAGCAGCGCCTTTGCCAGGGGGTGGTTTCGAGGTTTGAACACCCTTGCCACCGCCACTAACCTTGCACTCTGGATCCCCCTTCCAGTGTCCTACTTCCCCGCAAACGGCACATGTGGTTCGTTTTTTGAGCTCTGCCGGGGAGGTTTTGCCACCGCTGTACTTGCGTCCAAGACGTGTGCTCGCCAACCGACGAGCCGTCACCGTGAGGACGCGGGCTAAGTCCTCCAGCTGCTCTGGGCCGTCCTCGGCATCATCTCCGTCACCATGGTTGTCAGGATCTCCACCTCGCTCGTCCTCGTCATCGCCCTCGGGGATGGTCTCGAAGTCCTGCTCGATATCGTGATTGTTGGCCTCGGGGTCGCCGAACTCGCCGGTCTCGGTGACGAACACTCGCCTCGGAGGATAGCCGCCCTTGCCTTGACCGGGAACATGGTGCCTTGAAGGAGCCGAAGCCGAAGGTCCTGGGGTACTCGGGGATTTGCCGCCCTTCCCGTCCTTGGCGCCGCGGGTGACCACTTGACCATCCCGGCCCATCACGGGAGGAGCTGCTCTGAAATCTGGATATTGCATGGTCATGGACTCCATCACATCCTCGAATGAAAGTGAGTACCGGGACCCCACCAGAACCAATCGTTGATCAGCCTGGCTCAATCGGGCCCTCTCCAGCAACCTATTCCCTCGGCTCTCATCATCATACATGCCGGTGATCTGAACCCCCAATGCTTCAAGTGACCGCTCGATCCTCCTGTAGCGGTTTGCATAGGTCCTGAGGCCTTCGTTGGGATAACGACTGATGCTTTCGAAGTCGGCCAAAAACTTGCGTTTCTGATACACGGTCTTTTGGGCCATAGGTTCTCTAAGCGACTCCAATATGAACTCCACCCCCGAATCACAATTGATCTTCTCAAGAGGAACATGTTCTAATTCGGCTTCTGCTTCTCCTGTGAGCGAAGTGTAGAGGAGCAGCGCGGCCTCGCGCTTGGTCATGTAGTGTGCAATCTGAACCTGCCAAATCTCGACTTTCCTCATCCATTTGCTGAAGGCACGCAGATCGCTTGAATCGTAGCGCCACGCCGGTGGAGTGGGTGGTGTTCCACCCCGCCACCTCACGTTCTTTTCTGGACCCATCCTGCTGTGCCAGCTCGTAGAAGAACTAGCCTTGTTGGTCTGGCGACCCGGGGTCCTGGCAGCCTCAAGGTCAAGCAGGTATGCTGGATGGTCTTCGGCACAATCGTCTCCTTGAGGTTGTCGCTGATCGTCTCCTCCGGGGTTTCGTGGTGCACGTGGTAGGCCGGGAGGCTGGCGAGGTCGTGGAGGAAGCGGCTCCCAAGGATCATGTCTGGTTGCCCGACGCGAGGGCACAGAAGTCGCTGAGGAGACCGACACCGTGGGGTCGAAGGTGAGGTTCTCTGACTCGGGCTGTTCTGATGCCTCGGTAGCGTCGCCGTCCGGTGGATTCCCTCCATGTCGTCGTCGCCTTCGCCGGCGGTTGCCGGCTGCCGGCCTGTTCGCACTAGTAGCTGTGGAGCCGGGATCAGCAAGAGGAGGCCCTGCACTGCCACCGCCAGGAACGCGTAGAGGAGAAGCTGCCAGGGCGGTTCCGCCAGGCACGTAGTGCCATGTCCCGCGGCCGTGTGCCGCATGTCTCCTCGTAGGCTGGCCTATGTGGTAGTACAAGGTCGAACTGCAATCCGCACAGCTCCAAAAGCCAGCCAGGTCTCTCACCAGGGAGGATCCATCGCATGATGAACACCTCCAGGGATTATCTGGCTCAGCTTCGGCAGAGGTCCCTGGTCCAAGCGTCCGGGATGCCGTCTCCTGATTCTCGAGGCTCGGAAGAGAATCTGCTGACTCATCGCCCTGGCCGTCCATCTGGAACATCTCGGGAATCAGTGGCATCACGGGAGAACAGGCTCCGGTGCCAACTCGACTTAACACTCGCACAGCTCAAAAGCGTGAAAGTCACAAGCACTCAGCGCAACATGTTTGCTCGCTACGCGAAAGTAAGAAGCTCAAGTGGGCCCGCCTCGAGAGGAAAAAGGGCCGAAGATGCCCGAAGGCATGTGCTCACAGGTCAATCAGCACACGCAGCTGAAGGCTCAAATTTAACACTTCCAGCAATCGTCCGAGGCTCTCGTAGGGCAGTACCCACCGCCGTGGCCGCTGTGAGTGCGGGGCAGATGGCGGGTCCTGGAGTCTCAAGAGTCGCAGCTCGATTTAGGGGCCCCTGAACTGCGAGGTTTGCTTTAAGACTCCACAGGGAACTACAAAGGGCGCATTACTACTGCTTCTTCAGACCGAAAAGGATGGAACACGGTGCCCGGTGTGTGCCTAGCCCCTAAACCTACGGATGCTGGCGGGGGGGGGGTTGGTCAACTGCCTCCCTTGCCTCCGAAGCCTGCAGCAATCCATGCACTTTGCGAAGATGAGAGTTTTGGACCCCCAGAACCCTTAGGAGCTCTCTGGTCAGCACTTCGATGCCCGAAGCCGCTGAATGCTTGGGGATCTATGGGGCTTCTAGGATTTAGGGGTTCATGACGGTTCGCGGGGTCGAGGCTTTGATTTAAGGTTGGCAAGATGGGAGTCCTGCTGGTAGATCAGCTGCCGTCTCAGGTCCACAGCGAAGATAGAGCCCACAAAAGGTGCTTCGGATCCCAGGAAGAGGAGGTAGCCATCAGACATCTTCGGTGCATGCAGCAGCCAGGCGACAGAGATGGGTATGGAGTATCTTAGCATCGGCTTTAGGGTCGCCGCATGATACTGGTCTGCCACAATCGTCTGAGACGGAGAGAAGCTGAGCATGATAATGGACCCGGTGACCTTATCGTGCAGTACAGCCGATGCCAGGTCTACCGCCAAGCTTCCCATGACTTGCATGCTTGGGAAGGAAACCAGAGCCAAGCAAGAGTTTGGCCGAGAGTTGGCACGGGAATCCCGCGGATCCCACGCCAGGACCACGTCCGAGCGGTTGCCTGTAGCTGTTGCCATGGCTGCGTAGATCTGCGATGACTTTACACAGAGGGCTCCAGTCAGCGGCGCCAGAGAAGCGACTGTGTGGCCAGCGACGAAGTGATGGCAGGCAGTGAGACCTTGTCCCTCCTTCGGTGCAAGCCCAGCTGCCCTTTGGACCGCCACCAAACAGGGCGCTGGGGATCCGTGGCAAGCTCGCAACGCGGTGGAGCCAACGACCAAGGACCCCACACCGCTACTTAGGTGAGGAGGCCCCTTACCTGTCGCTGTAGTGGTATTTATCTGAAAGTTCTCATCGGAAAAGACGGTGCTGGCCAGTCCGTTCACTGCCATGGGGGCTCCTGACTCCAGCTTCACGAACGTCGACGCGCGGCGCAGGGAAGGTGCCAGGAAGGTGGCCTCGTAGGTGTCGTTGGCCAGGACGATCGGTTGGACCTCCCAGGCCAGCGGAGGGCCGTGGTCCATAATGCCGCCGTGCCATCGAAGCGCCTACGAAGCTGAGAAGACAACAGACAACACCTGAAGGACTCATGTCTGGCCTCTTACGAAAGCTTCAGGGGGAAGGCAGCCGCCTCGATGTATCGGTCGCGCTGCACGTGCAAGATCAGAAGTATGGAAACCAGCATCATGGCCCAGACGCACTTCCTGCTAGCACTGACGGGCACAAGGAAGGGATGCCGACTGGAGGGCAGAGGTCGTACCATACGGGATGCTATTGTATACCGCATCAACTTGAGTGTTTCAGATGTTCTCCAAAAACGGAACAGATGCAAGGCCCTGTGTCAAAGTGGGCATCCCTGCCCTCCTCCTTCCCCCTGGCAGACCCTAGCAGAACCCAAAACGAGCAACCTTGATCCAAACGTGAGGCCTGGAGCTAGAGGTTCCGTAAGGGTCCGCCTCCACAATACCCAGCTCCGGGGGCGCCTGCCCAGCAAGGCATCTTCGAGTCGCTTGAGGTTGTTTGCCATCGCCGAGTGCCGGATGCTTCGGGATGGGTGCAAATGAAGCACGTAGGACGTAGGCGGATATGCATAAATCCATCTGCAATGATTCGTACAGCGGCCGTTTTACGAACAATGACTGCTATGAGCTAATCGACGACCGGCATCTTTATGACTCCTCTTCCCCCCTCTTGTTCGACACACATGTGTTGCTTCTCCCTCCGCTGTTCGAAGCTTTCTCCATGTCGTTGCTCCCGCCGTTTGCCATGGACCTTCCTTGGTGATTCCTATGATGATGGCAAGCCTTGACATGAACTCGACCCCGCTTTAGGACTTAATCTGACCCCTGCGGGGCCTGAGCACGGTTGTTCCGCCACTCGGGGTCCGCATTTCCAAAAGCCACGGGAGCCACACGGAAAGGCCCCGACATAAGGAGGGGAGGATCCTACGTGGAACTGCTGAGGAGTCAAGGCACGGGGCTTCTGCGAATCTTGGAGCTTAGGGTTGGCTTCTGGGCTTCAGGGTTGTGGTTGCACGACTTACAACCGCACATGCAGCCTTCACTCAACGCAATGCCCGCGACAATATTCGCCGTAGCCACAAGTTTAATCCGACTAGGATGAAGTATATTCATACTTACCGTGAAATTTCTGTCGACACCTGTTACCATGGAATATGTCAGGTCGTCATGACAATGATACCAAACAAGATTTCAATATACTCCGGAGCATAAGAATCATGACATATCATGACCGGTAGTCGTTGGCAGAGCTGCCGGACTGTCAAAGCTGAGCCAAAGGACAGCGCGAAACTCAAACCAGACGAGCCGAAACCCTGAATCCCTATTCTTCGAAGCCCTGACGGGCTTCTGAGCTTTGAAAAACCCAGAAGGCAAGCTGGAAGTCTAAGATCCAGGCCTTGACTTTCTTTGCAGCCCTCGGCACGAGAAAGAGGGTCAGTCTTGCACACCCATAGGTTTTTTTTGGTTAGTAGGCCTTTGTGACAGTAGCTTTTTTCAGTATGCAGGTGCCATACCATCACCACGATGGCCGTCACTCGTGTCAGTCTCGTTGTGCGTGCCATGTGTTTCCATTGCCATCATTACCGCACGGACCTTGACAGCTTCGGCGGGTCCTACAAGCCTATGCTCCAAATCCCGAACTCGGGCAAGCCTCGACTGTCAAAATCTAAATCCTCCACACATTCAGCTTCATGAAGTCATTAAGAACACTTCAAGCCCAAACTCCTCCCTAAGCCACAGCCGCAGCTGTTCGGGCCGGGGCACCCGGGCTTCAACTCTTCCGTCCCCAGCATCGGATGCTTGCAGCCCGTGAAGGCGGGCGGCGAGAGGTCCAGGTTGGCCTCCCACAATCGGAAGAAAGAGGGCAACAATCTCTTTGCAGCAATGGGGACTGTTCCGTTCCAAAGCAGAGAGAACACGGGGTGCTGAGGCGTCATGAGGATGTGGCGTCAGGTTTTGCACGGGGTATCTCCTCAAGGCCTGAAGAAGAAAACAGCCTGGCAATAGATTATACTAGTATTGTCCACTGATGCGAACTAGTCGGTGACCCATGTCTGAGAAAGTTTGGTGGGGTGCGGGGAGCTTGTGGATCATACACTCCTCGAAAATTCCTGGCTTCAGTGCCTTCTCGGGCATGCAAATCCTTGCTTAAGTCCCTAAGTAAACCCTAAGAATGTTGAACCCAGAAACCCCAAAAAGCACCGCCTCGTCGACCTTGAGCTCACCGTCCACCATGGCCAGGTTGCACTCCTCCTCTGGAATGAGGCGACTGCACCTCGTTCTTTCGAATGGAGTGGGACAAAAAACACTCAGAGCGGCTTGTTTTAAGAAAGACACGCTTGTCTGCTAGGAGGAGTGGAGGGAGAGGGCTCTCATGCTTAAGGTTTCAGGTCTCGCTCTTGAGTTTAACTTCCGGGGTTTAGGGTGTTACAACAGCTGTCACGGCCAGTTATTCGGAACTTCGGTGGCTGCGCTGGGCAAAACGAAAATCTCTTCGGCTTCGGTGGTTGCAGTAATCTGTTGTAGAACGCTATCGCAGAACTCGCATTTGCCGATCGGTTTTGTTGCTATTGGCAGAGTCTGCAAGCTAGTGGCGATATCCAACTTGCACAGAACCGTTATGTGGCCTACACATTGCTTGGCTTGGTTTGGCCTGATGCGTTTTGCTCTGTTTACATCCCTACCACCCTAGCCCTTAAACCCAAAATCATCTTAAACCCTAAAACTCCTACACGCCCAAACCAAAAAACTAACCACCAAGATTTCCCGATCGGAACTCAAAAGCACCGCATCTCTGAGAGCAGCACAGGGGCACTTTGAAAGACATCCCGGCCTCGAGAAAGTGTTCCATTGAGGGGTTTAGGGTTCCAAGGAATTTGTTGAAGGCGTTGAGGTTCAGGAGTTTCGGGCTTTATGGCTTGCGGTTGACCTTTCGGGGTTGGCGCATGCATGGACGGCCTTGACATGAGCTCTACCGCGGGGATGTCGCTCTTAAAAGTCTTGCAGTGAGCAGCAGACCCCAGAACCCGCCCCCTCAGCCTTACACACGCTAGGACTTTCAGAGCAAGGGATCGTTGTGCACGAAGACCAACTGACTGTCGCAACAGGATGACGGCCACAGCTGATGATGCTGCACATGGCTGTCTTTTCTGTTTACGACTCCATCGACAGATTGGCCGCGAAAACCCTCGTCGAGTTTGCTGCCCAGCTA